CGATAAAAAAGGTAAACGCATGTTAGTCATACAAAATTTATATAAAAAATTGGCATGAGAAGAATTATTTGAAATGAAGAAAGTAATTAATTTTAGAGATTATATAAATGTTGTTTATTACGATAAAGATTGATATAAGTTGAGAATGTATGATAAAAAACTAAAAGTTAGAATGTGCGATAAAAAGGTATTTTTATGTAACGGAAAAGCTGGAGAAAAAATTAAGTCAATCATCCGCATGTTTTCAGTTTCTTGCATTGAAATGGTTAATTTATGAAAAATGTTATTTGAATACCGTATTTTTAACTTTATTAAAGATAAACGCAAAAAGATCTTTTTAAGAAATGTAAAACACTCACAAATAGATCAAGGCTAGGTTTGGTATTCGGCGTTTCAGTCTGACATCGTTGCTTTTTGCAGCGTTTTGCTTGTGAAATATTTGGCGTTTTGGCTAAAAAGCCAATAACCAAACGGAGCCCAAATCCGACATAAATAATACGGAGTATCCGCCATAATCCCTGAGTAGAAAATGATGGTGGTGTTCATGACTGGATGGACTACACATGTGCTCGTGAAGAAAAAATAGACTTCTCATGGCTACTCAAGGATTTGTAGCTTGATTATCACAAAATAATGGCGTGGGTGCGGTAGAAATAATGCCAAAGTCACAAAGTGACTAGCGCAACCAAAGGATTTCACTAACTGCAATGACCATGGCTCTGTATTCTGCTTTGGTAGACGAACGGGACACCATGGTCTGTTTTTTAGTTCGCCAAGATATAGGTGAGCCACCTAATTTATAAAATAACCAGAGCTAGAGCGTCGAGTGAAAGAACAACCGGCCCAATGAGCATCACAAAATCCCATTAATGAAAAATTAGAGTGGGCTGTCAAGAAAATGCCCAATTCTGGTGTTGCTTTGAGGCAAAGAAGTATTCGATATGCTGCATCGAGATGAACTTGTCGAGGATGAGAGAGAAATTGACTCAACTGGTTCACAGAAAAAACGATATCCGACCGTGTGACTGTGAGATATAAGAGCATCTCCAATGGTAAAATGTGCACGGTGCACACGTGGCATGAGAAATAGCCACATAAATATTAGTAAATAAATTATTTTTCTACTTATTTGAATGATTTTATACAGTTTTGGTAAGTTTTTTTTCACAATGTCAAGGAGACCGTCTAGATGTTGACATTGTTATTGACATTGCAGGGAAAAACTTACCAAAATTGTATAAAATCATTCAAATAAGGAGAGAGATAATTTATAGAGTCAATTCCCTAAATAGGACTAAAAAGTGGAAACATTGCACAAATAGGACTACATTTTTTAAATTCCCTTAATAGGACTATTTATGTGTGTTTGGACAAATATACCCTTGTAACTTGTGAAATGTTTTAATTAATAATAAAATCATAAAAAAATTAATAAAAATCGAAAAAAATACTAAAAATCGTAAAAAAAAAAAAAATAATAGAAAATTAATAAAAATATTTTTTAAAAAAATAAAAAAAATATTTTTTTTAAAAAAATAAAAAATAAAAATAAAAAAATCATAAAATTAAAAAAAACACATTACCACCCCTGCCACCCCCAACACCACCATCTCCCATCACCGGACAAAAATATGCCAACATTTTAAATAATGCCATAATGATGGCATAATCAATGAAAATGTTGGCATATTGCAGAGTAATTATGCCATCTTTTTGGCATTTTCAGAAAAATGTGGCATTTTTTTACCAAAAGTGGAAGAAATTTCACCAATCGGAGGTGGTGGTGCTAGGAGGCGCCGGGAGGCGGTGAGAAAGATATCCATAATTTTTTTCATTTTTTATGGGTTTTTACTATTTTTTATTATTTTTTTAAAAAAATTAAAAAAATAAAAAATTAAATTTTTTATTTTATAAATGTTTTATAATTTTTTTTAATTTTTTTACGTTTTTTAAATATTTTTTTACGTTTTTTGTGATTTTATTATGAATTAAAGCATTTCATTATGAATTTATACTCTTAGGGGTATTTAGGGTAGAAAATCAATGTTTAGTCCTATTTAGGGAATTTTAAAAATAGTAGTCCTATTTGTGCTTTTTAGGAACTTTTTAGTCCTATTTAGGACAATTTCCGTAATTTATATGCTAATATTTATGTGGCTATCACTCATGCCACATGTGCACCGTGCACATTATAGAATTGAAGATGCTCTAAAGATGGGCGACAATATGCAATGCCACATCACAATATGCTAAAAATATGGTCTCCAACGAAACTATGCGTACGGTGTGTCGCGCTGAGTTGGAATGGAAAAGAGTGGACAATTTCTATCCCTCTTTCTAGTTACAGCAGGTCTAATCCATTGGCTGACTCAACAAAAGCTCAACAAAAGTCTAATTGACGTTGTCATAAGTCGTAGTACGTAGTAATTCATTAGCCCAACAAAAACTCTCCATGGTAGTTGTTGGAGATAAAATTTTATTTTAATTAGATGTGCGTCCACGTGAGCTTCATTGGTTGTGCACAATAACGATGTGTCCATTCTTTTGCTGCAATTCACATTCCCATTAGAGATGCTCTAATAACTGGCCAATGAGTCAACGGTACATGAGAGCATTGACGGGATCACTTGGATCATCAGGATGTAATTTTAAGTTCTGTTCCATGGGAGTAGAACTTGGCCGACTGCCGAGCATACCCGTTTCTTTGAGGATATCTAAGGTATATTTTCTCCGACTAAGAACAATCCCAGCAGGAGAGCGAGGAACTTCGTTCTAGTCTGAGAAAATACTTGAGTGAGTCGAGATCCTTGATGGTAAACTGCTTATTTAAATAATGTTTGACATCTGATATGTGTGTCATATCAGTCCCGGCAAGAAGGACATCATTGACGTAATATTCAGGGTTTATTTGTGATGTTGGTCACATTTTTGGAATTTTAGAAAGAGAACACTGTTTTTGTCTTTTATCCTATTTTTAGTAATATTCAGGCCAAAAGCCTTTAAAATAATAAAGATTAAAGATAGAAAAAAGTGAGTAGATCGATGAAATAAATTTTGAGTGTCTATATGACTTTTTGCAATTCTCTAAGAGCGAATTAGCCATAAAGCGAATCAGGAAGAATGGGCGACATTTTTTTTTTTTTGACAGAAAGGGATGACAATATTAGTCAATATCAAGTGTGGGATATAAGTAGACTTAGTTTTTGGTTTTTACTTTTTGATACTTTTAATATTTATTTTTTCGCATTTTATTTATAAAAAAAAGTTGATACGTAAATTCGTTAGGATACGTGCATGGTTTCAAATTTTCGAATTATTACAAAAAAGTTGGAACCTTTTAATAAATTCCATATACAACTCCATAACATACAATTCATGTATTCTAGATATGATACCCTAATTAAGTATCCTTGAGACTTAGGTACAACAAATTATTATTTTAGTACTAATGTACTATGTGTAATTGCTCAAATACTTATTCATAATAGGATATGTCGAGTTTGTGTTGTGATATTCTGTCGCTGAGATTTGACTTGGGTAGCTTGGAAATCCGGTTCCTTCTCATTTTTGCACTCTTAAGTGGATGATCATTATACTTTACTTTCCCGGTTACTTTAGTACTTTAACTGAAAATCTCAAATTTTTGAAAAAAATGAGAGAAAACGGGAAAGTAGACACGAAATTATGTTGTATAAGTGCGCACCAATACGTTTTACGTTTCTTTCTTTTTCTTTCCTGGAGTACGGGAGTGCATCACTTTTGTTCTTCTTTTGCTTTTTTTTTTTTTGCTTTTCTTCTCCTTCTCCATCAAAGTACTAAAAATGTAATTGCAACTTTACTTTTGTTTATCTTCATCTTAAATTACAATTGAATCAATTTTTTTATTCTTTATCAATTCATAACAAAAAAATTATTAATCTAAATAAATTATTGTATTTCATAATCATACACTATGTTTTACTCTCTTTTTTATCTTCAACTAAAATTACAACTGAATATATTTTCTCTGTAATATTTTTTCATATTTATACACTTTTTTATAATATATTTTTTTCATATTCATACACTTTTTACTATAATATTTTCTTACCTCTTTTATATGTTTATATTATTTTTAGGAAATTAAATTTGTTTATTTCGATTTACATTTGATGAAATATGAGATTACATTTCATATGTGTGATTTACATTTCCACATGTGCGAGTTATGTTTATAGACAATTTCTAAAGCTATATGAGATAGAATATGAAGTTGCATCTTCTTGTGCGTGAGTTATTTCTTTTTATGCATGAGTAACATTTGGACTTGTCTCAACAAGTTACGTTTTACATACACCAGAGTTAGATTTTCCATCAATACGACTTATATAGTTATATTTTCCATAACACGAGTTACATCACACACTCCAGCTGTTGAAAAAAAAAAATCATTTTTTTTGCCAAAAAAAAATGAAACAAATGTGTTTTTGGAAAAAATGATATTTTAAACATTTTTACAACTTTAATATTAAAAACAAAACATATTCACTATTTATGTAAAGTGATTGAGCAATTAGACTCCTTGTTTACATTGAAATCAATGTAATATTTCTTATATTACATTTCAATGTGTCTGTCACTACATTTCTTATCAACGCGAGTTACATATCTTTACACACGAGTTACATCACCATGCTATTGAGACAAAAAGAAAAAACCATTACTTTTCACGTGTGTTACAGTTCTCGCATGTTTCAGCTTTATGAGCACCTTGCTCATCATGGGTTGCTCCCAACCACTGAATGATATATTATAGATTTATAGATTGGAAAAGTGAATGTCTTTTATTCTAGAGAAATTTTCTCTTCAAATATTTGTAAAACTAGTTTGCGGGTTCAACCTATGTTGGACTCTTGATAGTGGGGAAGAGATATTGATAGGGAGTACTTTATTGGAATATATCTGCACGTGCATTGCCATTTTCCCAAAAAAATCGCACCCTTCTAACGGAAAACGCAAAATCCAATTTGCTTTCTTCTAGATCATCCTTTTCAGTCATTCATTCATTTCCTGTGCCCCATCTCAAAGCAGTCCACTTCTCTTCCCCACTATTTTCTTCAAAACTGTAAATCTCTATTTCGTTTGATGTGATCTAGGAATTCCTTGTTTTCAGGTGAGTTTTCATTGCTTTCTTTGGAAGGTAGCTCTCTCCAATACGCATTGTTTGGTTTCTTCCTGGTAGAAGTGCCAGAAGCCCAGAAATATCTAATTTGCAGCGTTGTATAGTTACTTACTTTTTGTGAATGAATTAATGATTCAGGATTTTCGTAGCTGCTCCTTGAAGGAATTTATTCATTAATTCAATGAAACAGGGAATTATATATAGTAAGATAAGGGAGGTCAGAGTCTGTTTGTATGCATTGAAACCTGACGTTTGTTTCCTTTAATTGACCAAAACGGTTTCCTGAGTTTGCACGCAAAATATTAAGTGCTTTGAATTAAATTAAATTAAATATATGTACACGTTTGAGTTCTGACGTCTTCCGCAGCTTTAAAGGAAATTATTTATCACTAGTAATTAGCTGATAGTTTTTGCACTTCTCGATTTCTCTTTGAATTTTTTACAGTGATGAAGAAGAGTGGTATTCTCTTTTGTTAGGGCATATAGCTATAGCTCAGAGAAATAGGAATAAATGGGATTGAAGTTCATATTATTAGCAATTCTGTACTGGGGATCTCTATTTGGCACGACGAGAGCCGAACTCAATGAAGATAAACAAGCTCTTCTTGATTTCATTAATAACATCCACCACTCTAGGAAGTTGAATTGGAATGAGCAAGCATTAGCCTGTGAGAGCTGGGTTGGAGTTACCTGCAATCATGATAAGTCTAGAATTATATCAGTCAGGTTGCCCGAGATTGGAATGGTCGGATCAATTCCTCCGAACAGCCTAAGCCGATTGTCTGCGCTTCAGATTTTGAGTCTGAGATCCAATCATATTTCTGGTCTTTTCCCTTATGATTTGCTAAAGCTTGAGAATTTGACAATGCTCTCTCTCCAATCAAATAACTTCCATGGTCCTCTGCCGGCTAGTCTTTCTGTTTGGAGAAGTATTTATGCCTTGGACTTATCGAATAATGCCTTTAATGGGAGTATACCATCCTCCATGACAGACTTGACGCACTTAACAGTTTTGAATCTCGCGAACAATACATTCTCTGGTGATATTCCTGATCTTAACCTTCCTAGCCTGCAGATATTAAATCTTTCCCATAATAATCTCACTGGGAATGTGCCTCAATCTCTAGATAGATTCCCTAATTCAGCCTTTGCTGGTAACCAGCTTTCTCGAGATATCCTTTTTACTCCAGCTCCTTCTGTTCTCCCTCCTGGTTTTCTGTCAAACAAGAAGTCCAAAAAACTTGGTGGATATGTACTTTTGGGAATCACAATTGGAGTCTGTGGTTTGGGGTTTGTGGTAATTTTCGTGTTGCTGGTTCTGTCCTGTTCGCGAAAAGAAGATGATAATGGTATTCCAGCAAAACCACTCAAAAGAGATGAATCTTTAAGCAAGGTAGCTTACAGAAAGACTCGGAACGAAAGAGGAAATGTGGTATTCTTTGATGGTTGCAATCTTTCATTTGACCTTGAAGACTTGTTGAGAGCTTCTGCCGAAATTATAGGGAAGGGGGCATTTGGAACCACATATAAGGTAGCTTTAGAGGATGCAACAACGGTTGTGGTCAAGAGATTGAAGGAAGTAAGTGTGAGGAAGAGAGAATTTGTATAGCAGATGGAGGCCATTGGAAATATCAAACATGAGAATGTGGTTCCTTTGAGGGCATATTACTACTCCAAGGATGATAAGCTGATAGTGCATGACTACTACAGCCGTGGGAGTGTGTTTTCCATGCTACATTGTACGTCAAATTTCTGAATCTCTATTTATACTTCTTTGTTTACTATTTGTTGTGTGCTGATTCTTTTGGCATTTTGTGAAAACTCAATTGAAGTAACTTGTCATGGCCTCTTTCCCATTATTTAGGTGAAACTAAATTAGAGCTCATAGATAAAAGTATGACTATCACCATGATCACTATACTCACTGCATACTTGTTTACCCCAGTCACACCGCATACTTGTTTAATATCACCATGACCGCTGTACTCACTGTAAAAATACTATTGTGGTCAGTTGGTCACTAATAATAAAAGTCACATTTTTTGTTTTATTTAGTAATACATTTTTCATTATTTTAATTTATACTCCGTAACTCATTTATAGGCATTACATAAAAGGCAGGCAATTTTCATTCGCCACTGTAGCATTTCAGTATTTTCATTTCTACTTATATTGCCTGGGCTCAAAGGCTTGAACTTCGTTATATTGAGAGTTCCTGCACGTAGAACTTAAATCTTATTCTCAAATTTCTGCTAAATGCAATTTGAGAGAGAAACTGTTCAACTTATTCAATGAAAATAAGAAAACAAGATAGTTTTTTCCACTTTTAGTCATTGACCATTGTTGCAATGACATTTTTTATATACGACTTTGAATTCTTCCACTTTTACCCTCCGAATGTTGTGACAAACACTTTTTGTATCCGTCTTTGAATTTTTCTATTTTTAGTCGGTTCTTTGAATATTGTAATAATTGTGACAATGATTCTTTTTGGTACTCATGTTTGAACTTTGTAATAGTTGGAGGATCAAAAGTGTCAACCACAATAGGTGGAAGACCAAAGTATTATAGTCACAATAATCATCACACTACAATTGTAAAGTATCAAAGATAACACAATAAAAATTTATAAGAATCAAAAGTGTAGTTGCCATATTAATAGGAGGACTAAATCTGGAAAAATCTCATAAAAGGTTTATGATGTTTAGAATTGACTCCTGTAGAATGAAAAAAAACACTTCTTTCAAATTATCACGACAGGCTTAGCAAAATTTATCTCTTCGTAGACCTCAGTAAAAAAACGACTGCTCTACAAACATGTTTCTAACCCTAAATAATGCACATCTGTGAAATGTTGCAGCTAAAAGAGGTGAAGGATGGATTCCTTTAGATTGGGAAACCCGAGTAAGAATTGCCATTGGTGCAGCAAGAGGAATTGCTTACATCCATGGACAGCATAGAAGGATGTTTGCTCATGGCAACATCAAATCATCAAACATTTTCCTAAACTCTGAACAATATGGTTGCATATCTGATCTTGGCTTGGCAAAGCTGATAAATCCAATTGATCATCCACCAATCATTCGAACTGCATGGTACCATCCTCCAGACTCAAGGAAAGTTACACAAGAATCCGACGTCTACAACTTCGGTGTCTTTCTGCTTGAACTTCTAACCAGGAAGTGCCCAACATACACCACATGTGGCAACAATGAGGTTGTTGACTTGGTAAGATGGGTTCACTCTGTAGTTCGGGAAGAATGGACTGCTGAAGTGTTCGACGTGGAGCTTTTGAAGTGTCCCAACATAGAGGAAGAAATGGTAGAAATGATGCAGATAGGGATGTGTTGTGTGGCTAGAATTCCTGTGCAGAGACCAAATATGTCAGATGTCGTGACAATGATGGAGGGAATTGGAAGAATGAATACGGGGACTCAGCCGTCAACAGAAAATTCAACTCCCGTTTTGACTCCACCCATGGCTGATATAAAATCTTCATACCCCCACTGATGCAGTCTTTGTTCATGTGTTCTACATAAAACATGTTTGGAGTACTTCTCAGTCAATTTTTGTTATATATTGTTCCCATATTACCTGTCCCATTCTTAAAAGTTTTTTTTAGTTTTTCTTATGTCAGTGTACATGCCAACTTTGAGGGTCTGGTTGGAACTAAAAAATGATTGAAAAGTAAATAGGTAGGAAAGTGATTTTTTTTTTAAGAAAAGCAAATGTTGATGAAAATGAAACATTTGTTTTGCTTACTTGCTACTACATATTCTTTTTACTTTCCTTTTATTATATGAATACTATGAGATCTAATGATATGTAAAAAGTATAAACACATTAATCATAAATTATGTTTCTTTTCATATTCCCAAGTGTAACTAAAAATAAGAAGCAACTTTCCGTCGCATTTTCTTACTTCCCCCAACAATTCATGAGATTTAAACATAGCCCAAGAGTTCGTTGAGAAAAACAATGGGAAAAAAAATTTCTTTGCAACTTGTTCCGGCTATCTGGTAAGTGGTATACAAGTTAATATGATGGCATACAACATGTTGAGCCTACCTAATTTTAAAAAAAACGCCTTTAGCTTGAAGAATGTTAAAAACACATAACCTTACATTCCACTCCAGACCACTAGTGTTCCCAATATTAGTACTAGTATTCACAAGGGGCGAGATTATAAACAATAATAGTATAAAATACAATTACCAAAACATAGATAATACCATTAATTATTTTATACTAGCTTTGATGGAATATTGCTAAAGTATCTAGATAGAAGGCAAAGCTAATAGTAGAGAGTGCAAGATGTGTCCTATTAAATGAGTATTTGAACTGTTACATCTGCTCAATGCGGGGCTATTTGACCCGTCATAACTACTAGATGCATAAAACGCATGTACACATATGATTTAGTATATGGATTAAGTCCTAGAGCGTCTGAAAGGCCGAAATGTAGTGTGTGGGGTGAGCCAATGGGCTTGTGCCCTCATCCAGGCGAGGATTCTCGGACGAGGGGTTGTCTGACAGAAGTATCGTATTATATCCAGGTTGGTGCGTATCTTATTGTGCATGTTGTTGGTGCTAACATGTTTTTACCTGTTGTTGGTGTCCTCGTATGTATGTGGGCCTATGTGGCTAACTGCTTGTTGGGCCTATGTGGCTAACTACTTGTTTAGCCTATTCTGCTGCCTTGTGAGTATGTGGGCCATGTGCCTAGGCCTATATACTCCATCGAACTAGATACACTGTTTTAAACAAAAAAAAAACACATTCAAATGAACATAAAATATATTGAGACAATTTAAAAGAGAGTACTCTTTTGTACTCTTTCATATTTTCAACCATTTTAAGATTGGCTTATTCAAAACTTAGTTAAATATTGTCTTTGTAAAGGATTATAAATGTTTCTACTATACATTCGGAATCAATTGTATGCTTGAAAAATATAATTTTCTTAAACCAAACATCATCATGACATCGTTTAACATCTTGTTAAACACTATTTCTATAGTGGATAAGCCCTACTAACACGACTTTAATACATACATGGCACACACAAACATTCACACAGCCCTCATGTCTGTGGGTGGTATGTTTATGAGTATCCATTGTGTGAAAAAATTAAGATTGCATCTAATTTGTGTGCTTGCAACATTACTCTATGTTACAAATTTGTTAATTTAGCAAATGGATTTTATTTTGATTTGAACCATGATTCAATAGTTGAAAACATGTAATAATAAAGACATTTCAAATATTAAAATAGAAAGAAGTCCAAATGTATTTTAAATAATCCTTTTAAAAGTAACAAGTTTCGTAGATTTAAAAGATCGGCTATTTGACAAATCATTATCAATAATATGCTCGGCAAAATTTCCCGGATGATGATAATGTGTTATCATATTCAATTGGGAAAACTGTCAAATAGGTCCTCGAACTTTCATAAAAAGGTCAAATAAGTCCTTATATAAGAGGATCTATCCCACCGTCGCGATTTGGGCGGTTTCCGGTGGAATTTTTTATGAAAGTTTTTTAGCATCTTATTCATCAAGTCTAGTTTACTCATACCAAATTTCAGCTAAAACTTCAAGCGAGAACGCTTTCAAATTAATTCTTGAAGATAAGTGAGCACTTATCTTCAAGAATTAATTTGAATGCATTCCCTATTGACGTTTTAGCTGAAATTTGGTATGAGTAAACTATATTTGATGAATAAGATGCTCAAAAACTTTCATCAAAAAATTCCACCAGGAACCGCCCCAAATCGCGACGGCGGGACAGAGTCTCCTATATAAGGACTTATTTGATCTTTTTATGAAAGTTCGAGGACCTATTTGACAGTTTCCCTATTCAATTTATCTAAAACTTTTAACTATTTGCAAGCTTCAATTTTCTCATATCTCTTTTAAATATGTTTGATATCACAGTAATGTGCCAAATGTCTTGTGATCTCGGGATCTCATGATATCACTGTTACCCTTTCAAACCCAGAGTAAAAGTCTCATCTATATCTAGGCCATTCTAGGGAATTTGCATTATGAGGAATGTTGCGATGAAAATGCATATTCTTGCTTTCTTGAACATCACCCTATTGGGCTGCCACATGGTATGGCAATTCTTTTAAATTTTGCAATTGTTATAACTTTTTTATTTTTGGTTCAATTTTTCAAAAAATATATTAATATTTTTATTTTTTTATGATCTTTGATATGACACCAATATTGTATATGTAAGATTTAAATAAAAATCCTATTAAAATCAATTTTTAAAAAATAGTGTTTTCCCTAATTTGTTTTATACACAATAGAGATACCATTGGAAAGATCATAAAAAATTGTTAAATTTGATATATATTTTTGTAAAAATCAGATTATATGTAGTGTATAAAAAAGTTAAAATAAATTCAAGAAAAAATATATTGTATTGCCAAATGGCATTCATTGGAGTGAGAGGGTGATGTTCACCCTCCTTCAGGGTGAACAAAATCGGACTCCTATTGTACTTTCTTTTGGTTAATAACTTTTTAAAAAGCTCAGCTTGGAAAATAGTTCATGATGATCAACAAAATTTTGAATTCACCGTTTTTACATGGACTTAGTCCCAGTCCTGGAACTGGGACCAGACTGGACCGGAACTGCCCAATTTTAAACCGGACCGGAACCCAACCGATGGGAAAGAGGTCTTGGGCCTCCATATTTTTAGATTGAGACCATTCGAGACCAAAACCAGACATGTTTCATTTTTTGTTTTTTACTATTAAGCCACTTGAATCGGTTTAGGGACCATTAAATATCTTAAAAGAGATGTAAATTGAGGTAAAGAGTTTTGAAATGTATTAAAACAATAAAAAAAGAGATATTACCCGAAATAGGACTAAAAATGTTTGAAAATTTCAAAATAGGACTGGCATGTTTTTATTCCCAAAATAGGACTAATTACTGCCATGTTTTGGCAGTATCAGACTTCTAACATGGCAGTATTTTCCAAACATGGCAGTAATTACTCCTATTTTGGGAATAAAAAACTTGGCGGTCCTATTTTGGAATTTTCAAACTGTTTTAGTCCTATTTCGGGAACTTTCTCAAAAAGAGATATTGTACCGGACCAGGACAGTTTGGGGACCCAAACCGGCTAAGAACCAAAAATAGAGATCCTGGTCCCGATCCTCCATATATTTTTTCAAAGACCGGCCGATCCGGCCATCCAGGACCTGTTCCATGTAGGGATGGATCGGTCCCGGGCGGGACCGGGTCGGGCTTAGGGTGGGCCCGGGTCGGGCTTAGGGTGGGCCCGGGTCTAGGAAATGGAGGCCCGGAATCGGACCGGCTATGTTTCGGGACCGGGTCGGGTCAGGTCGGTCCTTTTTTCGTTTTTGCTTACTAATTCTAACCCCTAAACCACCCAGCCCAACCCGACTCTTACCCAAACCAGTCGAAAAAACCCAAAAAAAAAAAGGCCTGGACCTGTCACGGACCGGCCGGGCCGGTACCAAGGGTCAAGGCCTCAAAGGAGGTTCAGCCCGAGACCGCCCCCAAAACACCCCCGGGTCGGGCCAATCCCGCACAGTGGCGGTCCGGGTCCTGGGCCGGTCAGACTGGTCCCGGGCCACCCCTAGGTCCATGCCTAGCAAGTAACAACACCACAAGTTAGTATCGAATCATTCGAATGGTAGATATTAATAAACGATAGAAGTTTCCGTTGATGAAATAATTAGTTGTTTTTAAACTTTAAACTTGATTTTGTGAAAACTGAAAAGTTACTCATAGACATATGTAGTCATAAAACATTTGGCCCCTAAAACAGACAATGTTTGTGGAATGAGACAAACCTCATTTGCCTCAACATTAGGCACGCCCATGGGGGAAAGGGGGGCATATTATCATTCATCACTATGGAATGTAAAAAACTAATATGTCATTGTCAATTTGTTAAATTTAGTTGTTCAATTATTCTATAAATGCATGATTGACTCCCTTAATCCCTGTGTATTCAGACACTCAGACCAACCACAATCATTTACTAGATGCTTCATTAGAAGGTGAGATCATTGAGGATGACACTAAGATGCATTTAGACGTTTGACCACCTCTAATTGACCACCTCTCAAACATTTGAGAGACTGGACTGCAACAAATGAATGTGAGACTACATTGCAAAGGAAAGAACAGTCAAGGGACCAAAGTAACTTTTTCTTTAAAGATATTATATCAAGGTATAGTAGATTATAATCCGAGATTGACACAAATTGAGATAAACAAATAAGGAAACTGATATGTGTAGGGAGACAGCAGTGAAAGAGTTCAGGGGAAGATAAACTTAACTCAAATTAACCCCTATGTGAATAAGAGGGGGTAGATATCACTGGACCCTTCCCTTGCTGTCTTCCTAAAGGTACCATTGTGGAACAGAATAAACTGCTACGTAGTATAGATTTATTTACATTCAAGTCCGTCTGTGACATTTTCAGAAGCTAATAACACAAGAAAGTAACTTTATGAACAAATGAAACACCAAAAATGCACCTTTTGATGACATGGTCTGAAAAGTTTTGTTGCTTGATTTAAAACACTCGAGCATTTGCGAATGGTCACACACCACGGCATTCTCCTACGAATTTACAAAACTTGAAGAGCAGCAGCAGCTAAA